AATTTGGGGCTGGAGAGGAGGATACTGTACCAAGCCAGACTGAAATGATGTTTCTCTTCACACCAAAGAGATGCAGGACAAGGAGGACGGGCCTTTGCTCCACAGCCAGGCTCATGGTCAAGCTTGTGACCAGCAGCTTGGCATGGTGCTGGTGCCTGACTCTCCCAGGCAAAGCCCCAATGCCTAGAGATTTGCTCTGTGTTCAGAAATCACTTCCAATCCCCCTTTTCCTTCCACCCCATAAAGGCAGGTGCCATTTGCTCTACAGGGCCTTGGCCCTTGAGCTAACCTGTGCTCCAGCTATTTTTTTCTGGCTTCTTGGCCTACTATTTCCTAATGACGATGCAATCAGTTTTTGGGTGGGAGATTCCTCGTGAGAAGGCTTGTTGTTATTTAAGGAAGATCATGAAATCCATCCTTAATGAAAGGACAGGAGAAAACCCTTCCACCAAGTTACACTGAAGCCTGAGATTATCATTTTTATGGGCTTACAATCTTTCCTGCCTCATGTCTTATCAGTGAATGCAGCTGGAGGCTTCAAAAACCCTCCCAGCTTGCTGCTGATTTTGTGGGATGAAGATTAGAGATGATCGGATAGTAAATTATTCATTCAATTCGATATTGCTGGGCAGGAGGGAATATCCAGAGTGAAGTCAGCTCCCTTCTCCCTTTCTGAGGATCACGTGTTGGGATCCCAGCTATTTACCACTCCAGCAATGCAGCAGCACTTTCCCCTGCACTCAGAGATGATTAGGGGTGCAATATGACCTCTGAACAGATGGGAAAGCCGAAGGGAAACCACAGATGCAGGCTCATCCCCTAGAAATAAGGCAGACCAGAGACAGGTGGATTTTTTTCTTATTTCAGGGATTTTTAGTTTGATTCATTCCAGCCCAGGACAAGGTGGGACAGATCAGGTAGCTGTTTTCTCAGCTTAATTTTCCAAGGTTGCAGGGCCTGAGGCTGATCTGAATGTGCTGTCAGACCCCTGGCAGCTATTGACTCCAGGGACAGAGGAGCAGGGAGCTGAGAGAGGTCAAATCCTGGCAGCTGTGTGCAAACGGACAGCTGGATAGAGGAGAGAGCCTATTGCTGCTCTTAGATGTACGGAGCAGCAGCATCAGGCCCCAGCACAGATGGTGGCCAGAGTGAATGCTGCCCAGCATCCAGAGGGTCTCATGAAATACACATGGGCCACGGTGATGCTACTGAGCAGACCTTGAGGGAAAATGAAGGGCATACCTGGTGCTCGACGCTGATGCCATGTCTGGGCCCCATCTCAGATGGCTGCTGGGTACCAGCTCTCAGTGAGTGTCCTGCCAGGAACGGTCCTGGCTGACCCCACCAGCACATGCAGGCTGCCTGGGAGGAGAAGGGGAAAACCCACGTCCTCCCCAAACAAGGGTCCAAGAGGGGTCACAGCCACCACCATGACACCTCCCTCTCCCTGCTGCTTATTCAATACTTGCAATTAGCATCAGCACTCAGGGACTCACGAATGGTTTAATAAAATGCTGAGAGATGTTCTTTTTCTTGGCCCTGTGTGTGCACAGGAGGAGAGCAAATGGTCCAGCTGAACCCTGGGGCGGGGAGGGGGGGGGATGGACTGGGACGGGGCTGGGGTAGGGCAATATCCCATTGCCACACCATTGACACCAGGGTTTTCATCAGAACATAAATAAGAAAATATTTTGCTGTTTAAACACATTTTTAAAGAGGGGAGGTGGGGTACAGAGCTGTGATGGATGAAAAGCCTAGGACTGCCTTTTTCTACTGCTGTTTATCCACACTGGCACACTGGGCCAAGAAAATGCCCTTTTCATAGGAGCTATAGCTCCTGGCTCTTCCCTGGCAACATCCGTCCCAGGCAGGATTTGAAAGACAGTATCTCTGGGAAATGAGAGAATTCTGAGGCAAGCAAGGAGTATTTGGTTTTGATGGCAAATGACAAAAGAAACAAGAGATTAAAAATTCAGTTTGGTTTTGGCGTTTTGTTGTTGGTTGTGGTTTTTTTTTTTTTTTGAGCAGCTATTGAAATGTAACAAATTCATAATTACTTTTTTTTTCCTATGAATTATACAATCTCTTCTTTAGATGATGTTCAGGCTTGCTCTTATATATTTATTTTTGTGTCTTTCTGAGACAGGGGGAGGAGATGGAGAGAATGAAGGAGAGAAGGAAGGAGGAAGGAAGGAAGGAAGTGAAGGAGAAAGAAAAATAACCTCCATTAAAACACAGAGCCCCACGATGTTTTTCGAAGAGGAACTGGCATCTGTACTCTGAGCTGTATCACCCAGGAACACATTTTAGGCTCAGGAATGTTGCTTTGAGTAAATGTTAATTTTGGCTAAAACCAACATATTTCTTAGGGGAAAAACCTGCCAATTTTTGGAGGATATCAGCATAAATCCTGAAATTCCAAGACCTGCTTTGTGCAAGACCTGTTGTACAGGCAACTGCTCACATGGGTCCCTGGGAGGGAACTGAGCTGGGTCTGGCTCCACTTGGGTTTGACTAAATGCTGCCAACATGGTTTGCCCTTCTGTGTCTCAGTTTCCCTCACCTGTAAAATGGACCTGTAGGGCTTTGGCTCACCATAGTTGAGTGATGCTGAAGGTTTGGGTGAGAGAGCCAGCAAGATTCCAGTGTGCTGCAGCAGGAACGCTTAGCTTCTCATCTCTGCAGGTCCCAAGCCAGAATGACAAAAGGAGAAGCTGGATGGCAAATTATTTGCTGAAATTTTGGACTTTGACCTTGCTGTTTCTCATCCCCCCAGGCCAGACCCATCGATATGCAACCAAGCTGGTGCCACAGGAGCTTTTAGCCACAAGAGCACATACCTTCCTAATAGCTGCTGTGGGCTAAAGAAGAGGCCTTAGAGCACAGGGGAACTTTGAGATAAGCAAACAGCAATTCCCTGGCCTCATCAGCAAGCCCAGAACAATTAAACAATTACATTTCCTTAAATTTCATATATGTGTGGGAATGTGCAACACTAAAGTGTTATTTGCTCCTCAGGACAGCAAGACCCTTGCCTGGAAGGCACAGCAGCCCTGCCTACATCTTGGGGTCTGGTCTGTCATGTACTGTCACCCAAACACACTGTAGGATGCAGGTGGATTCTTGAGACATCCTTATCCTTGGAAAATCAGCCCAGGGCCCCTGGAGCTGGGCTGGGCAGAGCCCTGGGGGGAGAAGATAACCAGGACTACGTGTGGAGAAGGACCAGAAGGAACACAGTGAGTAACCTGCCACAGCCCCAGGCATGATTGGGGGGGATAACAGTAGCAGAGAGATGTCTCAGACCTTGAATTTTCCAAGAACAGCAGCAGGACTGGCTTCTCTAGGACTTCTGATCTGCTGATAAAGCCTTCTGCTCTAAACAGCTAACATCTGTGCTGGGCTTTTGCTAAGAGACAGGGAGCAAAGATTGCAAGATCTGCATGCTTTCCTGAATAGATAATGTGGAAGCAAATCACGGGGAACCCAAAGTTCACTCTCGTTTTTATTTCTTAGCAAGCCATTCCTTTTTCTGTGTGACAGAATTAGATTGCTTTTATAGGGATTTATTACAGGCAGGTTCCTGTCGTGCCGCTTCCTTGCCAGGTGCAGCGGGAGAGTCCCTGACCCAGGAGTTCTTAAGCAAAGCCTAGCAGGGTTGGGAATGGGATTATCCCACGTTGCAGGTGAGGATTTGGCCATGGAAAGGAATTTGGGAGATAGCCAGGAACTGGTCTGCAGTCTTGTATAGCTCAAGCCAGATTCGACTTGTTCTCAGGGTAAACGACGTTATTCTAGATCAAGGGGAAAGAGGAAGGATGAAGGAGGGCAATCTTGCACCTGTGGGTGTGTATTCCTGAGGGTGCTGCATGTTCCCGAGCATGGATCCCTTATGGGTGCCCGTGTGGGGACCCGGTACCCAGGCAGGGTCCCTGGGGGGACCACAAGACCCAGAGGCCGGGAGCTCAGATGCTGCACAGGGGGATGCTCAGCAGCCCTGCGGGTGTTATGACACACTGCGAGAAGACTGACGACAAACCCCTGGCTCACAGCTTTAAAATTTCCTTCAGGAGTAACTGAAGTTGCACAGCTGGAAAGCCAAATAGGTTTTATTCGTCCTGCAGGGTGGATTTGTCAGCCATCCGAACCTGGCAGTGGCTGGGAAGTTGCTTAACTTGGGACCTGCAACCTTCCCTGTCCTGCAGCATCTGCTTAGCTGATGTGAAGGGGCCAGCCTTGCTACCTGCTGCATGTCTTTGGGTGTTTCTACCTCTTCTGATGTTGAAGAAATTTTGGAAACAGCCTTGAAGACTCAATAAAATGAATGCTCTGTTTAACAGTCTCTCCATTATACAAGGTGTGGGAGGTGGGAGGCAGTACTTGACATCAAGTCTGTTTCGTTAAATGGATGTTTTTAAGCCACAGATCTGTTTTGCTGAGTTGTTAATGACACTTGTTGAAAAGAAAAGAGCAAGGAAGAGAGTAGGGGCCATGCCAGGCAGCTCCCCACATCCCCAGGACCTGGGGTCCCACAGGGTGGGAAGGGATGTCAGAGCTGGAACCCCCAGGTCTCCTGCTTCAGGGAGGGGAACTTGAGGGGCACCAAGGTCCTCTTCAGCCACATTCCCCAGGTGCCACAGCAGTGCTGGGGAAGAGATTTACCCATCTGGGTGTCATTTCTTCCTCCTGGGCAGCAGCAAATATTTTGTGGCTGAGTCCTCTTCCACGCCCTAAGGGGACTGTCAGGTTCAAGTCACCGTGCCCCAAATTTCCCGTCAGTCTCCTCAGAAGAAAGAAAAAGGCACCTCCTTCCAACCCTTCCCGCAGCAGGATTTGAATAACCAGGTGTGAGCATCAGCCTCCCTCGTTAATGTGTTTGATAATTGACCAAGTGCTCATTCCTGTGGGAGGGTGGCGTTCCCAAGCACAGCGTCCTGTGAGGAGGGGCTGTGCTCGGCTGCTCCTCTGCGCCCCAAGAGCCTGTGGCTCTGCCTGCCACCATGCCTGCCCGCTGCCTCCTCCTCCTCTTCTTCTTCCTCCTGGGGTTGGAGCTTGCCTGCTGCCAGGAAGGTAAGTTCAGGCAGCTGCCTGACCTCCCCGGGAAAACTAAGGTGGGGGAAGGCAGGAAGGTGTGCTGAGCCTCGGGCAGGAGGGAGCTGCTTGGTGAAGTGGCTCTGGGGGCAAGGGACAACTGTGAAAGAGCCTCTTAAGAAGAGAAAAAGCATTCTGGCCTCACATCAGGGGGCAATGAGGATGGGTGGATGTCTGGTGGGTTGGGAGCTGTTGCCAGAGCTGGGGCATGGAGACTTTCTACCTGTTTTGCTGAAGACTGCTGTCTGGGGTTTATCTTACCTGCTTATACAAAGATAAAGCAGCTCTGATTTACCTCTGGCAGGACTGTGCACTGGGATGAGCAATCTGTTTTCTTAAGGCTTTTTTTCTTTCTTTCCTTCTTCTTGTTCTAGTCCCTTGGCAAGCATGCTGGGTTGTTCCCTGAGCTCGCAGATTTTCCTGTTAATCTGTAATTTTGATCATTGCTGAGGTGAGGGAGCAAACATTTTCTTCTGCAAATTGCCCTCCCATTCCCTTCCCAAAGACTTAATAGAGAAACTTCATATGGCTACGGTATTATTTTCACGAAATTTGTGGAAGGACTTGTCTAACACTAGAAATAATGAGGAGCAAAGTCCTGGAAAATTCCCTCCCCCTTTCTCCTTCTGATGCTCCAGCCCTGACTGCTCTTCCTGTATTTGTTTACCAACTCACAGAGGATTTAACAGTCTGGGGTCTCTGCTGTTAGCAGGATTGAAAGTTTTGCTGTTGCCTAGAAAGAGAAAAGAAAAAAAAAAAAACCTTTTAATGAGAATTCAGAGCCTGGCACAAATTCCTTGGAGAGGGGAAAAGACAGGGGGCTAAAAATGCTTTCCAAACACTGAGGGAAGATGTATCAAAAAGCAGATCAGTGTCTTAAAACCAGCCATTGAGTATGGAAACAGAGTTACAACACGTGCAAAGGCTTGTATTGCCATCGTCACTTCCCTTGAAGTGGACCCACAGACTCATGGACCCACATCTACTGGGGGTGCAGATTCCAGCTTGCTTAGTTTGGCTTAAAAAATCTTGTTTAGGAGGGGAAAAACCCATTATTGTCATGGAGTGAAACAGCAGGGTGGTGACAGAGCCAGAGGGACAGGTTGTCCCAGGAAGGACATCCCTGGTAGAGCATTTTTCCAGGAGCACAGTCCTGTTTCCACAGGCAAGACTCATCCTTTCAGCCATCCCTCCTGGTGGGGCAGTGAGGTGTGCTCTGGTGGGGCTCCAGCCAGGCGGTGCCCCCCAAGGCTGCCATACACATACTCAGTCCCTATCAAGCTCTTGCCTCTGCCTAGTTCCCATTCCTCCTTTCTTATGCCCATGCAAGTTCCCTGTGCCCATGGGGGTATTTAAGTCCGATGCAGAGGCATTTGCTGTTCTCCCTGTCATCCCCATCTCCCTTTGCAGCTGCGCTCTACATGGTCTATCAAAGTCAGAGTCGCTGGATTTTGGTTTGGGATTTTTCCTTTTGGCCTGGGATGCTCTGAAAGCTGGTGGAAACAGTCATCTGAATGAGGTTTTGCTTGCAAAACCATACACTACCTCCTGATCACAGCTGCTTGGAGGACGTTTCTTACCACTTATCTTCTCGCCTCCTTTGCATGAAGATCATGAGATGAAAATCTGGTGATTTCAGTCATCGCTGACTTCGTTTCCCTGTTGACCTTGAACTCCCTTAACCCCAGCAGAAACCTCACCAAGGGCTGGACCTGATCATCACCTCCTAGGCTTAAGCAGGAAAAATAAACCACAACTAATAAATAACTGTAGCTGAGATTAACAGCCAAGGGCAGAGAGAAGGAGGAAGCAAAGCGGGCCAAAGAGGGTGGTGTGCAGCAAGGGCAGGAGCATCTCCTGCCCATCGGGTAGGGCAGGAAGGGACTACGCTCTGCTCTCCCTTGCTATCCTGGTACCCTCACTTGCAGCTTGCTGATACAATGGGATTTCAGCCAAAATACATTGATATAAGAGGAAATTTCCGCCTGAATTCCTCCCACTTGAGTTTTGGCCCCGGGACCTTGTGGTAAACACGGCAAGTGTCTCTGTGGGGAGGCGGTGGGGCTGAAGGCCGTTGTTCAGGGCTGCTTTCCCGGCCCCTTGCCCCGGGGGTGCCACCACTTTCTGGATTGGTATAGGTGGTGAATCAGTCAGCCAGGCTGATTTCACTTCTAAGAGGGGGGAAAAAAGAGCTTTGGTTTAGGTTTTTATTTGTTTTATTTATTTATTTTTAAATAAAAGCCTCTTGCAGTAAGGATTCAAGGAGCTGAAGGTCTTACCGAAGGACAGTCCCCCTCCCCAAAATCAGAGAAGGAGATGAGGACTGTCAGCAGCAGAGTCAGAGTGGAGCTGGCTGTGAATGAGGAGTTTGTACACATGGAGCATACAGCCCACCTTTATTGCCGCTAGTAATGATTATCTGCTGTTTATAGCAGAAATTTGTCTCCCGTGAGACAGATGAAGTGTTCAGCCAGTGTAAAGCTCCCAAGTCAGATTGAAGTCCCAAGGCATGCATCCTGGGGTAGCTCCACTCTGTGAGTGGCAGGGGCTGGGTTTGAGTGGTCCTAGGCTGGCAGGGATCACCTTCTACCTGCCCCATCTGCCCACACAGAGTGCCCTCATCTATGTGCAAGGACTGGTGTTTCAATTGGCAGAAAGAGGAAGAGCCATGGTTGAATAAATAGTAATTAAATCCCAACAGGATGTATCTGCATAGACAAGGTCTCCTTTTGGTGCTGATGTGACAACACTTAAGGACGGGTTTGACTACCTCTGAGTGATCTGTTGCTTAAAAGCCAGTGGGAGGTGGGGAGCAGCTGCCCCAGCAAGGATTGGGACAAGGTTTTCTCTTCTCATCACCCTGCCCTTGAGTGCCTCCTGGGCTTTCACCTGTCGCTTTGGGCAACATCCTCCCTCCCTCCCTGTCCCCCAGCCATTTGTCCTCCCATCCCAGAGTCATCTGCACCCCACTGCATATGTATATATATGGGGCCCCAAGGCTGCAAGGTGCCACGCTCCACATGCAAATGCCAGTGAAACTGCCACTATTTGCACTTTATTTCACTGCTATCACTCAGGTAAGCCTGTCTGGATTAACAGCAACCTACTCTGCTTGGCTTTGCAGGACTGATCTCTTGAGTGGATGTTGCTGAACCTGGATGGGAGAAGCTTGGCAAATAAAGCCTGAGGATGTATTTCTAACATGTCCTCTTTATTTTTTTTTTTTTTCCTGCAGCCCGGGGCAGTCTCCAGCCATGGTCGCAGGGTGTCATCGCAGTGGTTGTGTTTCTAGTCCTGGTGGCCATTGCTTTTGTGGTCAATAGATTCTGGTGTAAGGAGAAAGTGTAAGTGTGAGAGTCCTGAGCGTTGCTTCAGATTGGGCTTAGCTGCCTCTGCATGGGTTACTTCCAGCCACCTCTGTCCTGTGCCAGAGCTGGGAACACTGTGATCACTGTGCAGGGAGACAGGTGGGGAGAGCAAAGGCTCCCTGTCCTGGTCTCCCTGTCCTCTTCTCCCTGTCCTGGTCTCTGCTCCCTGTTACTTATTGCCAGGTGCAAAGTTGCACCATCCAGATACTGCCGTGAGAAAGTGCTGTGCTGTGGAAAGAAGAGTTGCAGCATTGTGGCTGGTTTACTTGGGTAGGTGTCTCAGGGGTCTGGCCTGAACCTGATTTCCTGTGGATTTGGAGATGCAGTCCCCAGATGCCTTATATCCATGAGAAAACAGACTGACCCAAGTCAACAGAAGGCACTGAGAGGAGCTGGGAGAAGAGGGAGGTAGCTGAGTTGTGGCAGTGCCCTCCACCTGGACCCCACAACACAGGCAAAGAGGGTGGCCTTATTCATCAGAAAAAAACTCTGCAGGACCCATTACCTCTTGCCCACTGCCAGCCAAGCAAAACCCCAGGCTGCTGCTCCTGCTCAGCTGCTCCTGCTTAGCTGACTGGCTAAGTTGCAGTAACTTGATCTTGAATCTGAGCCCAAAGTCAACAGGGGATGAAGATCGAATGTGCTCTATATCCTGATTCCGAGTTCCTTCTCACTGGCATGGGCGCTTTGGGCTTTGCCCCCAAGGTGCTGGACTCTTCTTGTACCTGCATATCCCTGCAGCCTCTCCAGACCCAGGAGGTGGGAACTTGGTGTGTACCCTGATGCTCAGCAGGTCAGCTTCTGTCCCAGATGCATTTAAAGGGGGGCCTTTGGGATGCACTCAGGGCCAATGCATAATGCCATGTATGTGTGTATATCTATCTATCTATATTTGTATGGTCTGATTTGCAACTGCAGTCTTTGGGAAATAAAGAGGAACATTTGTCCTCAAACTGGAGGAGCCCCCCAGCCCATAGAGTGGGAGGCAGGGATGGTGTTTCCCACCTCTGCCCATGCCCGGCTGCTTCTTCCCAGCCGGGAGGCAGAGGATGCTGAGGAGGGCTTGAGGAGGGATGGCAGCTTGTTTTAATTAATCTGGTCTCTCTTCAGCAGAGCGGGCAGCGAGGCTCGGCAGCCTGGCACACTGCCATCTCCGTGCTCTCACTGTGACAGCAGCTATCAGCTCAAGCTGATGCCTGATGCCTGTATATACCATGTTGTTCCTTGAAAAAGCCTCTGAAATTGCCCTTGGGTGAGCGCTGGAGGGGGCAGGGGTGTGCACAAAGGGTGGACCTGCATCTACCCTCCTCAGCTAAACCTCCCCTGGCACTGTTCTGGCCATGGCCTCACTCCAGAGCAGAGATTTTAGGCTCCAAGTGAGGTTGAAATCATGGTCCCTGACGCATGGTTCCCTCTACCTGCATCTGAGAAAGCAGCTCAGCTTTGCAGGCATGGACGTGCATGCATGCACCCCTCCTGCTCCAGGGCTGCGGCACTAGCAGAGCCTCGGCGTTTCTTCCGGTGTCAGTTGGGACCCATAAGGGACTATTTTGCAACAGATTACATAGAAGATGACTGGAAAAACCAGTTAGTGGGAGAAAACAATCCCACGTATTGACAAATGAGTCTTGCTGGCTGCCAGCCTGGCACTGGGAGTACCAGCTCCAGAGACAAGGGTTGGCACTCGGCATCTGGGCATGGCCCCTGCAAATCTGCTGTGAGGGCATCCCTCCTCTCCCATGTCCTGCTGGGAAGGGGGCTGAGCAGGGTGTCCAAGGCCAGGATTGCACATCCAGGTACCTTATTGTCCCTGTAGTGTTGGAGCAGTCCATTCCTCTCTGCCATCACCATTGTGAGCTTCTTCCAAGCACGGCCCCTCTGTTGATCTGTCTCAGCTTCTGTCTTCTCCCCTCCAGGGAAAATGTTGAGACGGTGGTGAGTGTCGAGGACAAGCGGGAGGCTGTCACATCCAATGGCCATGAAGGGAGATACCTAACTGCTGCAGCTGACTTCAGGTGAAGGACTTGCTCAGACCTCCTCCCCACGTCTCCCAGGCTCTGTTCGATTCCCCTGGGGACAGCTCAGGCATGCAGAGCTGCAGTCTCCCACTCGGGGTCTTGCATGTTCTGTGCACCTGGTTTTGGGGCTTTTAGCATCTCCATGGCTAAGGAGAAGGCAGTGAGAGAGCATCCCCTTCTCCCTGTTCTCTCCCCATTCCTGCAGTTGAGGCTCATGGTCCATGTACCACCTTGCAACAGGCTGCACCACATTTTTCTCACACCACATCACACCTTTCAAACAAGGGAAACCACCAAAAGTGGCCACTGGTCACTACGCAGATATTGACTGTCAAAACAACACTTGCTAGAAACTAGAGCAATTCCCACTCCGCACTTAGGTCTCCTTCTGGCAGAAGGACCCCTTCCACCCTCCCCACTTCATCCCTTACTCAATATATGGCCAGCACCAGCAAGGTCAGGGCCTTGGTAGTAGCTGGTCTTGGTAGGGGCAAGCTCACTGCTGTGCTTTGCCTTCCTGATGCAGGTCCAAAGAGAGCCAGCATGCCTACGAGAACACCATAGAGCCTGAGGAGAGTGTGATGACCACCGCCATGTAGCAGACACACTAGACAGTCACCCTTCTTCCTCCTCTCACTTGTTTCCTGCTGTCACAATGGCATTTTTGCAGGGACCTTCTGCACTGGCATCCCGTGTGTGCAGCAGTGCTCTGACCTCTGCACAGCACCACCATCTCCTGATCTTTTCCCTTTCCACCTGTGGGACATGATCTTCTGCCTTGGGGGCTGGTGTCCATGCAGGCATTGGTCCCCCAGAGAGGTCCAGAGGTGCACATCTCCTGCCTGGCAGTCACCCCACCTGGTTGGTGAGGCTGATGTCCACAGTCCCAGGGAGGTGCTGACCTGCTCCAGACATGTTGGGGTCCCTTCTGGTTGCCTGAGACCTCACTGCACCCCCAGCCACAACCTGGGGAGCTGCTGATGGAAAACGTTTCTCTTCTCCCAATTTTACCCTCCTTTTTATGTCCTACACCATGCATTTTAATGACAGAACAAACTTCCTCCCCTGTATATATCTTCCTTGTGAACAATAAAGAGAATTGTTGCCCATACAACAGCAAAGAGAGTTGTTTTGCTAATCACCCAAAGGACTTTCTGGCATCTCGCAGTGCTCCCTGCCTTCGGGCAGTTTGGGAAGGGAAGGACAGGACGAGAGGGGAAAGTGGCACGGGGTGAGAGGGGAGCTTAGACAGAGGTAAGCACCCTCATCTGCCCCGTGATCCCTCCTGGGTAGGATCTGTACTTTATTTCCTCACTTGGATGAAGCCAGGAGCGCTTTTGCATGTGTCTGTGTGTCAACAGGGGAGAGAAAAAGGTGGAGCATTTTTTTGCTCAGCATTTGGACTGCCCCAGAGCTGTGAAGGGCTGTATGGGTAGGTGAGCATCATTCCCCTCCATTTGCCAGGTGGGGAAACTGAGGCACTACACCAACCCAGCACTTCCCAGTACAGCTTAAAGCATGAAAGGTGGCACGTTCTGAATTCCACTGGCCACAGAGTGCAGACCTACAGCCAACTGGAGATCATTCCCAGGGCTGGAGGCTGCAAGTGGCAATCACTTACTGGTATTGCCAGGATGTGGCTGGGGGCTGCTCTAGGCAGTGTTGAGGCTCCTTAGGGTAGCAGGCCATGGTGCAACCTGCGCCTGCCAGGCTGTTTATTAACCAAGGTCTGTTTTCTGCTGTGCTGGGGCCACCACGGGAGCAACAAGCCCTCCCAAGCCGTGGCATTTGCAGATTGAAACAAGAAACTTGTAACACCTTGGCCTCCTCTGGGACATCAGTTGCCCAAGTGGCATGCAGGGTCCTCCTCTTGATCAGTGAGGAAAGGGTTAAGGGGTTCTGCCATCAAGGGCAGCCCAGGAGCTGCAGGTGGAGAAGATTGGGAGGGATAGGATGGGACGGGTGGGTTTATGAGGGGCATTTTTGGCAGTTCCTGAGTTTGGGGGGAGCAAGGTGGTTTTGGGGTTCTGCTGCACTTAGGGCTGTGCAAGGGGGAGGAGGAGGACATCAGGTGCCTGAGCCACCTCTTGCTCTCACTTTCTGTTGAGCATTGAGGCAAGGGGAAATGTGAAACAGTAGCTGTGATGGGTTTGGATCTTGGAGGAGCCCTGGCATCTGCTCAGGAGGTGCTTTGGAGGCCATTTCCAGGCAGCCATGCCAGGAACAGGCAGGGGGTGTTGGGGTTGGAGGCACTGCTTTGCCACTCCCCAGCAGAGCTCCTGCTCTGTGTGTTTCAACCCTGAACAGGCTTTCCTGCTGCAAGGGCTGTCCCCTGCTCCTCTGCCCTTGCCAGTGACCTTAAAAGCCCTGAGCTTCTCCTGCAGGAGGTGCTGTCCAGGCTTCTTCCCCAGGCAGGGGCTTGCAAAACACTGTTTTCCTAAACTACCAAAACCTGCTGGATATTCTCCAAAGCGAAGCTGTGACAGTCCTGATGAGGAGCTCAGCCCAAAATAGGCTACTTCCCACTGCCAGAAGCCCTCCAGCATGGAGCTGGGGGCTGGAGCTGGACCCTGGTGCTGCTGTGAGCTGCTGTCATGCTTCCTGCAGGTGAAGCTGTCAATGTCCCTAGTGGATGGTGACTCAAAAATTCAGACTTGGCAGTAAAAGAGGAGCCTTCCAGTAACAGACCCACTCTGAAACACATCCTCCTGAAGAGGCTCGCGTTGGCAGGTGTTTTGAAACTACCCTCAAGACTTGGTGTTGAGAAATTACAGCTCCAGTTGAGAAATTGCATGGGGGTAGAAGAAAACACAGAAGTGTTGAAGGGGTCAAGCCTTTGGGTGCAGAGGCTCAATGGCTGTCGTCCCCAGCATCGTGAGAGAGCTTTTCCCTTCTACCACCTTCCCTTGAGCACTGGGAGGCTGAGCCAGCCCCAGGCTGGGTCTTGAGCCTCCCCATTCATGCCCCTGGTGGATGCTGCTCCCTTGACTTTTCTCTCAAAGGTGCCAAACATCACGCGGGTTTGGAAAAAACAAGCTCCCTGGAGTTCAGCAGTAATGCTTTGCTCAGCAGGGTTTAAGAAGGATTAGTCACTGTGTGTTCCCGCTGAGTCAGCACTCAGACTGGGGCTGGGGGTGTGGTGAGGGGAGGGGAACTCATTAATTTTTACCTCTCAGTTGCAAAAGGAGTTAGAAGCGGCATCGTTATAATGAGTAACAGCGGGAGTTTATTCGCTGCCCTGTGCACACCCTGAATATGTGATGAATGCCCAAGTTGCTCCCCCAGCAGTGCCTGGGTGCGGGTTTGGAGCGGAGGTGCGCTGGGGGCTCCATGAGTCCCTTTCTCCATGGATCCCTCCCGGTTGTAGGTCCAAGCAAGCAGCTGGATGGGTCTTTACTGCTGCACCTTTTGGGTTAGCCCAGGAACCTTGATGCTTGGTCTTATCCCAGCTAGTGCCCCTTCAGAGTTCACTGTCCTGGGCAAAACATCTTTTGCAAGAGCCACTGTGTCACCTCCCTGGTGGGACCTCAGCTCCTCGCAGTCTGTGATGCTGTCCTGCCTCAGTCCCCCTTGTCCATCAAGCACGACCCAAGTCCCCCTTGTCCATCAAGCACGACCCAAGGCTGGCTGTGTGAAGCAGGCTGCCTTCCTGCAAGCCATGCAGTCGGCTCGTGGCTGCTTCTTGGTGTGATCCTAAAAAGAACAAAAGGGAGCAAGCATAAATGAAGTTTATTGTTGGAAAATCTTAATTAGATTTTAAACCCCAAAGGGAGAAAAGTGAGGTATTAGCTGACACAGCTAATGAGTGTTAAGGGTCCATTGTTACATTTCTTGTTTACCTTTCTGTGCTGGCTGATAGGCCCTGGATCCTCGCCTGTACTGCCATAATTAGGATATCTCATCTCTCACTGATAGTGTTGGGGATGCTCTTTAAGGCACAATGCTGTCTCATCCCTCTCTGGCAGGATGAGCGTGATCAAGAAGGCAAATTCTGGTGTCCTGGCACTCGTGCCCACTGCATTGACCTTGTGAGCTGGGGGATGCCCTCCAGCACCAGGGCTGTACCTAATAGCCACCAGGTAATGGGCACCTCCAATGGCCCTGGTGAACTCTGAAGGGCCCTGAAGCCAACGTGCCTGGGGGCCAAATCCTTCCCAGCACCTCTCTCTGTACAGCACAGGGAGTGACTGTGTCCTCCACAAGTCAACCCACACCCACCGATGAAAGGGAAGGACACCCATGGGTACCCCAACCTACCCCTCACTCCGTAATGGCAGTATCCCTGAAGCTTGGACTTGAGGAAGATGTTCAGTGTTGGGATCCGCTGTGGACTGGATAGTCCCCTTTTGGGTAGAACATATTCAGGATGGTCTTTTTGTGTTACAAAGATGATACAAGAGGTATCACAGCTTTCCTTTGTGGCCTAGGAGGGTGCAACTCATCCCTTGGACCCCCAGATAACAGGGCATCTTGTTGAAAGCCACCTTTACTCTGAGGCTTCTCTGATCTCCCTGAGGTTAGAGAGGCTCTTAGGTCATGGAGGTTTAAGAAGTTTCTGATCCAGCTGTGACCACAACCCTGGAGCAGCTTGGGCAAGTGGGCACCTACCTCATTCCTTGGATGTCCATGCACAGCCTGATGGGTGTAGTTGCATTAAACCACCGGCAAAGGTGGATTAGCACTGCCTGGCCCTGAAGATATGTGAATTATTCCAAGGTGGGATTAATTAAAGACTTGCCGTACACAGGTAAACCGTTGCTGGAAGGACCGCCAGCTCCAGCTCCTGGCCCTGAGCAATGTAGCCTGGGGTTTATGGCCTGGCATTGGGCATCTTGACACCCAAGCAATGTGATCTGGACCTCCAGAAGCAAAAAGGGAGCCTGTCCCGCCATCGCAGTCCTCCAGGCCGGGCAAGGAGCCCAGACACCCAGGTGGGAGCCAGGAGTGCAGTGTGTAGGGGTGGCTGTGTGTGGGCAAGGGGGCTCCAAAGTTTTTGGTCTCAATTCAAGCCACTGAAAGCCAGAAGTAAAATACCGTCCATTGTTGGTTTATACACCCATAGTAGCCAAACAAACATCCCCAGAGCCTGTCCTTATCGCTTTATTACACCTGCTAGAGTGAATAGATTAAAGAGGACGGGGGAGGGGGGAGAAAGCAGAAGAATCCAGCAGAAAAACTGGGTTTTGGGATTGTTAATTATTCTCTGGGGTCTCTAATCTTTAACTGGCAAACAGCATCACTAACTGTCTTAAAGCCCCTCCTGGAACATCCTGATAATAAGCCATCTGCATGAAGGCACCCCGTTATCTGCCCTCCTCCAGCCGCCTGTGACATGGCTGGAGTGGGAGATAATGAATGTGTGGTGTGTAATAACGACACGTCATTCATGATTATCGGCCCGATACCCAACCTTTTAGCTCCATTGTTTGTGCTTCAAAAAAAGAAGAAATAAAAAGAAAAAGGAGGAGGGAAAGAAGAAAAAGGGGAATTTTTGGTGCTATGGGCTCTCCCAGGGTCCCCGAAGTGTCTCTCTGCCAAAGGGGCTGGCTCTTGTAGCATCTCCCAGAGGATTTGGTGGTACCCTGGAAGGATTTGTCTG